GTGTCTAGTCCAAAAGATGTGAAGTAAATGTAAGACACACCCCAGATCCCAAAAGTTTAATACCAAAAAATGTAAAATATCTCAACAATTGTGTTATATTGATGACATGTTGAAATTATCATATTTTGAATATATTGGGCTAAATAAACTATATTAAAATTAACTTTACCTATTTCTTTTTAGCTTTTAATGTAGCTATGAGAACATTTAGTGTGAAGAACATTTAGTGATTCATTCTATTTCTACTGGGCAGTGCTGCTCTAAAAGCTCTGAAGGATAAAAAGATGAGTGTCTTAGTCTCTGACCTTTAAGATTATTTTAATGTAGTGGAGAATGAAGTGGAGAGAATAGATCCAAAAGTAATTAATAGAAGGCAACGCAGCTAGTATTAGACCAAAGAGTGGAGGGACAAAGTGCTACTCCAGTGAAGGGGAGGGAAGCATTCATTAACTGGGTTTTATTTGGGGGTTTGTGTTTGGGTGGGAGCAGATTTCCTACACAGGAAATCATTCTGCTGTCTTGTCATCATTTTTGTTACAGAGATTTGCTTATCATAACAGGCTTTTGCGAACATTTGCAGAGGAACTAGAGAAAACCAGCCCAAACCTGGTCTCAAAGACATTATTGTCCACAAAATGCTCTGAGAACAAGAAAACACCTTGTCTTTATTTCCTATCTGTAGTGTTAAAAATCTATCAGGGGATGGGATGTTCTACATTCCCCTAAGTAAAACATTATGGCTTGACTTTCCCTATACTCCTCTAAAAGGACAAACTGTTGCTCACAATGCAATCTCTTGAATTGGCTAAATGGTCTTTCAAATAAACATTTTGAGAACTAGGTCTCCCAGGTGCTTGTAAATTCTTCCAGTCCCTTCATGAATGTATCAGTGTGACTTCATGACAGCTATATGGAAAATAAAAAGTGTGATGTGTGACAGAGTAAGCTGGGGTGAGTTGAATAGACATCCACTGTTATTCCAGTTTCATGGTGATTTTGTGCAATAGCAAGCGAGACCTGAAGGCAACAGAATTCTACCTTTAATAATCCAATATCTATTCCCCCATTTTCCTAACAGAATTCTGCTTTTGCTAGAAGAAGCAATATGCCCAGCTAAGAACTATATTTCCCAGTCTCTCTTGCTGATGGGATCACAAGATGACTCAGTTCAGGCCAATGAAGTGTATGTAGGTGGAAGTTATTTCTGTCTCTTTCTCTGAAAATCAATCAAAAACTTTTTTTAAAGTTTTAAAAAAAAAGAGCAGCTAAGGACACTGCATCAATTATCTATTACTGGCTAACAAACCACCCCAAAACTTATTGACTTAAAACAAGAACCATTCTGTTTACTTATGAGTCTATATGTCAGCAATGGTTGGGCTCAGCTGAATGGTTCTTCTGTTGCTCTGGCCTGGGGTCACTCATGTGGATGCAGTCCTCCATGGGCTCAAATGGTGCTAGATTGTCTAGACAGTGGTTATCAAACATTTCTGTCTTGATATCCCTTTACACACTTAAAATTTGTTGAGGACCAGAAGAGCTTTTATTTAACTGAGTTATCTATTGGTATTTATTGATATTTACCATATTAGAAAGTAGAAATTTTTTAAAAACCAGAATACAGGAGAAACCAAGATGGCGGCATAGGTAAACACCGGAGGTAGCTGCCTCAAACAACCACTTCAAAATACAACTAAAAGATGGAACAGACATCGCCCAGAACCACAGGAAGACTGGCTGAGGAGAAATTCTTCAACTAGAAGGAAAGAGAACAGCATACGAGACTCAGAGGAGGTGCAGTGTGGAAAATACAAAGGTGTGGAGGTACGGGAGGAGCGGACTGGTAGCTGAGGGCGCGGTTGTCGTTTTCAATCGGGAGGGAGTTTCAGACTCTGAGCTCCAGTTCTGGGCGAGTCTCTAGGGACCCAGACTCAAACAGGAGAAGTGGGACTGTCTGGCAT